CTAGGGATATATCTAAAGGTTTATATTATATTTTTAAATTTATGTGTGTATGTGTGTGGGCCTGAATGTATGTACATGTAACTAACATGTGTATACAGGTGACTGACAAAGCCAGAAGAGGGTATAGAATCATCTGGAACTTGAGTTCTAAGCTGTTGTGAGTGGCTTGATATGAGTGGTGGGAGAACTGAAGCCAGTCCTCTGCAGAAGCAGCAAATGCTCTTAAGCACTGAGCCATCATCTCTCTAGTCCATTGGGTACACGTCTAAAGGAAGTAGAAATAAGTGTGCTAAAATCTACTATACTCCCATGTTCCTTGCAGCACTAGTCACAATAGTGAAGATATGAAAGCAAACACAGTGTCTTTAAAAAAGTGGATAAAGACAATGTCCTAGGGCTGAGGGGTATAAGGTCAGCGGTAGAGTATTTGCCTAGAGTACAAGCCATCCTAGGTTCTTTCCTAGTATCAAAACAGAAAGAGGAGGGAAAATGTTGCATATATACACAATAGAAATACCATTTAGCCCTCAAAGGGCCATGGGGGTAGGGTGGCACACAATAAGACTTGTTCTTTGTGACAACATGGGTAAGTCAGAACATTATGCTAATTGAACTAACCTTGGTACTGAACAAATAGCATGATCTCATTGATGTGTGCAGTCTAAGGAAGATGATTTCACAGAGCAGGATGATATGTTATCAGGACCGAGGGGAAAGTGGACAGGGAAAGGAGATGCTAACCCAAATACATGGGGTTTTTGATGTCTTTGAGACAGGGCTTTATTATGCCACCCACACTTGCCTCAAACTCACTATGTAGCCTAGGTTGGCTTTAAATTTGCAGCACTTCTCCAGCCTCAGCTTCCCAACGTCTGTAATTATACAGACACTGGTTCTTTACTGTGTGTTTAGGCTTGCCTTGTGGTCTAGCTCATGGCCATATGCTGTGAGACAATGGTCTATACTCCTGTCATTTGTATTTTAAATAAATGCTGATTGGCCAGTAGCCAGGGAGGAAGTATAGGTGGAGCGGGGCGACCAGACAGGAAGTAGAGGCCGGGCAAGGAGGAAAAAAAAAGTTCTGGAAAGAGGAAAAGTCAGTCTGCAGTCATCACCCAGACACAGAGGAAGCAAGATGTGACTACCTTGCTGAAAAAGGTACCAAGCCATGTGGCTAACACAGACAAGAATTATGGGTTAAGATGTAAGAATTAATTAATAAAAAGCCTAAGCTACTAGGCCAATCAGTTTATGATTAATGTAGACCTCTGTGTGTTTATTTGGGACTGAATTACTGGTAGGACCTGGTGGGACAGCAACCCCCAGTCAACAAATGGTGCCCATCGTGTGGACAACTGCATCCACAGAAAGCCTGCTAGAGCTTGGGAAGTAGTTCTTGACAGAAAAGAATAGAGTTAAACACGGCTTATTGATAGCAACATTTTCTCAGATGGGCTCTGTTTGCTAGAGGCAAACATGTCTCATTTAAGATAGGCTTCCTGTTTCAGCTGTAGCTGCAAAAACTTTGCAGTCCTTTTAAGAGGCTCTGCCACAAAACATTTAAATGGTGCTTATGAATAGCTGACTGCATACTTTTTGGTGGTGACATGGACCTTGAAATGCCATAGGGTTGCGGCAATAAACATGGCTCCAGCCAGTACCTCTGCCATGAGGCTAAATGCTCGGAAAAAAGCTAAGAAATGGGCTAGATCTAGCCATCGAAGTTATGGCTTTAATCCTAGCCATATCTCTTAGCAAATTGAAGACCCATGTGGTCAGAAAAAGAGAGATATACAATAAAGATAGATTCAACAACGAAGAAGAAACCTCTAAACAGTTTACTGTGTGTTTAAAAATACATGTAGGTTTGGAAGAAAAAAAAAGAATAAAGTCCTTAAAATAAAAAATGAAAAAAAGAGAGTAGTTGGGTGTGGTGACACACACCTTTAATCCCAACACTTGGAAGGCAGAGGCAGGAGAATCTCTATGAGTTTAAGGACAACCTGGCCTACAGAGTAAATTCCAGGACAGCTAAAGATACACAAAGAAACCCTGTCTCAAAAATCCAAAAATAAAAGAAATAGAGGTTCAAATAAAGGGATGTAAAGATGAAAAATACACAGAGTCTGGATACTGTATGTTATTGTGTTGTTTTTAAAATTGATGACTGGGGAAGGAGCAACAGCTGTTAAAAGACATTTGATGATAAATGCTGCTGGTTTAATCATATATATATATATATATATATATATATATATATATATATATATATATATGTGAAAATGCTTTGACTTTAAAATTTAAGTCAAAAGATATGTTACTTTGGAAAAGAGGTTTTGTTTTTGTTTCCACAGGAAATGAGGGACTGTGGATTCATTCTGTGTTAAGAAAAATCAGGTTTGACCAAGGAAGACTCCCTGAGAAATCTCCGATAGGAGAAATGCCCCAGATGTCTGAGTTCTATATCCAGAACAGTTCAAAGACTGCTGCCTGAGATGATCAAGCCTCCCTCACAGGATACTCCAGTTAGGACTTGATCATAATTCTAAATTTTCTTTAGGTGCTCATAAGATCATCAGTGCCCCCAATCAGCAGGAAGTATCCTGGGAAACTATGTCCACATTCCCAAAAAATGGATTATGGATGCTTGCCTTTGTTTAGAATGTTGGTTACAAGTTGTTTTGGATAATGATCAGTAGAAAAGCTAAACAAAGGATATCTGATTCAGAGTTCTTGTTTAAAAAAAAGGGGGGGGGAGTGCTGTCAACTGTATTTTAATAAAATGCTGATTAGCCAGTAGCCAGGCAGGAAGTATAGGCAGAGTGACCAGGCAGGAAGTAGAAGCAGGGCAATGAGAACAAGAGAATTCTGGGAAGAATAAAAGTCAGTCTGTAGTTGTCACCCAGACACAGAGGAAGCCAGACACAGAGCAAGCAAGCTCTTGTGTGACTACCTTGCTGAAAAAGGTACCAAGCCATGTGGCTAACACAGACAAGAATTATGGGTTAAGATGTAAGAATTAATTAATAACAAGCCTGAGCTACTAGGCTAATCAGTTTATGATTAATGTAGACCTCTGTGTATTTATTTGGGACTGAACAACTGGTAGAACCTGGTGGGACAGAAACATCAGTCAACAGCCCTGTGTGTGTTATGTGTGTGTGGGTGTGTGTGCATACACAGCTGGGAATTGGACCTAGGCTTCAAGCACACTAGGTAAACACTCCATAACTAAGCTATGAATACATTTCCAGTCCACATGGTTTTGTTTCTATAAGCATGCCACATGTACTTGGAAATAGGATCACAGTAAAGTCTGAAAAAAATTTTCTCAAAGTGAGCATCACACAGATCAGCTTATAATATAATGAAATTAGAATTTAAAACAGTAATTATTGAACAAGAATTCACACATTTGGCAATGAAAAATATTTATAACAAATGAGTTAAAGAGTCACAATCTACATTGTAAATTAAATTACAAATTAATTTAAATATAAATTAAATTAAAACATAAACAAAATACCATCCATCAAAAATGTCCTATAATAGCTTCAATATAAACATTCTTAAAGTGTTACAGTTTTTCTGTACATGTTTGTTGTCATTTTTGTACTGCTGGGGATGGGACCTAGGCTACACCACTCCTCTATATCTTCAACCTTAACCTTCAACCTTAACACATTTGCAAATTTCTTTGTAATTGACCTGTTAACCTTAGGTCCAGGGGACTGACCTGTTTACCTCACCTATTTTATTGTGTTACTTTTTTCCCTTCAAGTTGCAAATTCAACTCACCTTCAACTTTCTCTCTCTCTCTCTCTCTCTCTCTCTCTCTCTCTCTCTCTCTCTCTCTCTC